GTCTCACATACACTAACCTATGTGGAATCTTGCCCAGAATTAATGTCTTTATGTTTTCTTTCATTAAAAACAGAGAAAATGGCAAGCATAGACAACAAATTGTGGAATTTCTTTATTAATAAATTGAAAGATCACTGAAAAAGCTAAAACAAAGAAGAGAGAGTAAAAGTTTTCATAAGATTAGCTGTCAGGGAATCAATTCAGTGTAGGGGACAACTCTTAGGCCAGATGAGAGTCAGCTGGTAGTAAGTAGTTGGCAGTATTCTGAAGGCGTCAGAGGCAACCCAGGAGTCAAAGATGAATTTACAAAAGTGATGCCTAATTTATTTTAATTATTGTTATTGGATTTACATTTAGTTCAATGGACAGTTCTTCCTAATTAAAAGATCTCTTTCTGTGGCTGAATTTTGCTTGTCACTCACAGGTTACAGTTTAGCTATTTCTGGCTCTTAATTGGCCTGTCACAAATGAACCGTATCTTGAACTTGGTGCCCTCTGATCCTGACATCTGCTTGATTTGAAATATATATTCTCTGGAGCCAGATGTGTTCATCCCAAACATTCTGAATCTTTCCTCCCACTAGAGTAAAGTCAGTGTGGGGGCAGTGTGTGTGATGAAGAGGCTGTGCTTCATGGAGCGTCTATATCTGAAGGATGTGTTTAAATCATGGGTTGTAGACAAGAAAGGGACATAAAACAACCCAGCCCAGCCTGCCCCTCATACAGGAGCCCCATATGGTGTCTGGGCATCTGGTCATCCATGTATTCTTTTTTATTGTAATAAAGTATAAATAACATGAAATTTTTTATTAATATGTAAAACAAGCATTTTAAGTGTATACTTCAGTGATATTAAGTACATCTGTAAAAGTGTGAAACTGTTGATACAACTGCCTATTTCCTGCATTCTTCCATCATCCCAAACAGAAACTCTATACGTATTAAATAATACTTCTCTATTCCCTTCAACTCTGGGTTATGAGGTTCTACCTCTTTCCCTTTAAGAATTTGCCTATTCTGGATTTCCATATAATTGGAATCATAGATTTATCTTTTTGTGTCTAGTGTATTTCATTTAGCAAAACATTTTCAGGGTACACCATCCTGCAACATGTTTCAGACCTTCATTCTTTTTATGGCAAAATAATATTCCATAGTATGTATATACAACGTTCTGCTTATTTATATGTTCATGGACACTTGGGTAATTTCCACCTTTGAGCTCTTATGACTGATTCCACTGTGAACATTGGAATGCAAGTGTCCATTTGTATCTCCGTTTTCAAGTATTTGAGATATACTTTTTACCTTTTGAGAAACCACAAAACACTTTCCAGAGTGGCTGTACCCTTTTACATTCCCACCAGCATTGTACATGGGTTCCAATTTTCCTACATTCATGCCAACTTTGTTATATTTT